TATTTTGTTAGTTAACATGATACCTCAAAAAATCTAACTGAAAAATTAAAAATGAGGCGAAAAACAAATATTAAAAAAAATTAAAAGAGCTTTTCAAATAATATAATTATAAAAAATAAGTTTTTGAACAAAGTTTTGGGATTGATGTCTTAGCCAATGGAAACATAAGATAAGGACTTGTTGCCAGTGGCACAGTGGGCAGAAAAGGCATATTCGGAATTCAGGAGAACGGGAAATGCTCTCTTCCCCATTTTCTCAATTAGACAAAAGTAGTTTTTTTATTTTTATTTTTAAATTTATGGCACTAATAAAAGACGAGTTGGCTAGTCGCACAATGAGAGTAAAAGCTATTCCAAATCCATCGTTGCCTAACCTCTCAATCAATAATTAAAAACAAAGGGGTAAATCAGAAAGAGAGGTTCTGTTGAGAACAAAAGAAAGGTTCTCTTCCCTTTATCGAACGGACAGAAACGCGTTAATAAGAGACTAAAATCTCATTTTGACCCTTTACTTTTGTATAGGGTCTTTTTTAAGTTTTTTTAACATACAAAATTTTTTTTTTAATTTTTTAATTTTTTTTTTCAACGCTTTTTATCCCTCTGTCAGTTATATAATAACATGACACTTTTGCTCCACTAACTCTACCTTAAATTTAAATTAAATTGTTGACATGAAAAATAAACCCAAAAATTAAGTCTGACTTGAAATAAAAATGATAACATGTACAATTGGATACACTTAAACAAATTTTAAAAAATGATTTCAGAAAAACTTAGAGTAAAAGCGAAAGGACCCACTTTTTAAATACTCCTGTCTTTCTTTAAACAATAAAACTTAGAGAAAAAAAAAACTTCAAAAAAAAAAAAGAAAGTAAAAAGATAAAGTGGAAGGTAAAAGTCATCGTCTTCTCGGCTTCTCCACCTCAACCTCTCTCCAATAGTATGAAAACATAAAAAATAAAAGGTTAAATCCCCATTTTGGTCCCTAAACTATTGTATGGACCTCCGATTTGGTCCCTAAACTAAAGAAATCCCTAATTTGGTCCTTAAACTATTGTACGGACCCCCAATTTGGTCCCCACTGTTTATAATTTGGTCTAAGTTGATCTTTGAACTATTGTACGGACCCCCAATTTGATTCTTATTGTTTATAATTTCGCCCCAATTTGGTCCCTGACCTATTATTTAACAGAAGGACCAAGTTGGAGTTAAATTGATAAACAATAGGAATCAAATTGGGTATCCATACAATAGTTTAGGAACTAACTTGGGAGTCCATACAATGGTTTAGGGACCAACTCAGGGATCCGTACAATAGTTCAAGGACAAATTAGGGATTTCTTTAGTTTAGGGACCAAATCGAAGATCCGTACAATAGTTCAGGGACCAAAATAGGGGTTTAACCAAAATTAAAAAAAATTTCAAATTAACAACATTTAACATACTCATTCTATTAATAAAAGAATTTTTTCTTTCTTTTAAGATGAATTTTTATAACAAAATTTGGGTTAGATTTAGATATGAAAATCTTGAGGAATGGACTCTAGAGATTCATTGTTGTGAAGCTTTCTACTTGCTTTTGATATTTTAGTTTGAGAGTCCACTGTCTTACCATTAAATTATTTTAAACCGTAAATTAAAGAATTTTAGATAGGTGAGATTCCAATGTCAGATGCCTCCTCCATTTAAAAGTTCAGTATTTTATATTTCAAAATGGTGTGTACTCGTAAAAACACCTTTCCGTTAGTTTAATTGCTCACATGTCTCTTTAGTTGCTCAGCTTTTGGATTTATGTTGGGTATAAAAAATTGGGAACTTCGAGTTTTGTACTGTTTATGCAAAGATGATAATTTCTTGAGACGTGGTTTCAAAACCCAAATATCAAGCGAAGTAAATCAATGAGTTCCGTGCTCTCAAACTCGCCGGTGCGTGATTGTTCCCTCTGCTCGAGCTTGTTGTTGCGTGATGCTTTCACTCGAGGGCGACGTTGTTGATTGCACGATGGGTTCTAACATGCCATCACGCAATGGTGAGCTCTGGGTTTGTGCCCGATGACGAAACCCAGTGCTGTACCAAATTAACTGGTGTCTGCTGTTAACACACCTCTGACTTGAGAGAACGGGCCGGAGAAGGAGACGAGGGCATAAAAGTAATTTTATTTTATTTTAATAAATAAATTAATTTAAATTAATTATAACGGCAATCGTGTAATGAGCATGCTTTAAGCTCCACGTGTAACTAAAATTCTGTCGACATCATCAAATTTTTATGTGGATTTTCCATGCCATTTATGAAAAAAAAAAATTAAAGTATTTTCCCACCTTTTCGAAATGTTAGGATTGAAATTTGAATGTCATATCTATTAAATTTAATATAAAAAACTTTTTATATCACCAGACATTCTCAAAGTATTTTCCTTCAGTCAATTCGTAATGTCAGTAAAAAGTTAATAGAAGGACAAAAAAGGGTAGGAAAAAAAGATTTTCTTAAGTTGGGATCAAAATAGAATTTTAAACTGATGCCGATAGAATTTTGTATAATGAAAATAGAAACATTAAAGATAAAACTAATGATGAGAGGTGAGGATATCTTGATCAGGAATATTATACTTGGTGGCACAAGGGGCACGATGGTTCATTCCAATGTTTTCAAAATTGAACCGGAGGTGAAATTATTTTGACTTCTAATTTATGATTTTGATGGTTTAATTGGTTTAATCGGTTAAAAAACCGAATTGATTGAATTTTAAATTTATATATTAAATATAATATAATGTAACTCATTATAATGAATTAGTAGTGGCTTTAGTGGTTAAAGCTCCTTGCCTATAATAAGGAGAACTAAGGTTCGAGACTTACATGCTAACGTTATTCAATTTATATAATACTATTATAATAAATAAATTTCAATGCATCAATACACAACAAACTTGCTTCCGAGATGGGAATCAAGACGATTCAATTTATATAATACTATTATAATAAATAAATTTTAATGCATCAATACACAACAAACTTGCTTCAGGAATCAATACGACAGCATATCTACTATATCATGTGATCCATTACACACTTAAGGAGGTCCAATCACGCAAACTAAAGCTAAGAAGATGCGTGAAACTTTATATGGTCTTATTGAGCAAATCTGGGTTGAAAACAACATACAACAAGCAAATCGAGACTTGGATGATTATAAAGCATGGTAAATATCATTCAGATTCAAGAGAAACTTAGTTGAGGTCATTTGTACAAAATATCAATTTGTTACAAATTGTGACAAAATTTGAGTGGTAGGAATTATTTGAAGCCTTTAGAAGATTCAATGTTCGGATCCAAAGGAAGCCATGTTTCCTTTAAAATCCTTGTAATATTCTTTAAGAGATATTCTTTGCAACATATTTCACAATACATTGGATGCTCTAGTGGCAAATGTCTTGCAAACCTCCCATGAGGTTTGGTGTTCAAAACCCACATGAGGTAAATTTTGGAGAATTTCGTCCAAAGAGTTGGTCCGGCCGGTTGCACGAGTTGCTGGTTCTGATTGGTTTGAGTGGTTTTGAATGATTTAATCACCTAAACGGTTTAAGATATTAACTCAATTCGTTTTCATTATTGATGTCGGTCCAATCGGTTCAACCACCCGATCTAGTCGGGTTCTCAAAACATTCATCCCTATTATTTTTTTTTTTAAGTTAATAGAAGACAAGAATTAGCTAGTGGCATGATAAGGGTAAAAGCATATTTCGAATCTGCCTCTAACTTAGCGTCTCAATCAGCAAAGGTGGAAAACTATAACCAGAAAGAGAGGAAAACTAAAAATGGTTCTCCTCCTCTTTCTCAAATGGACAATCTCATCCAGACAAAAACGTACAGTTTAGTAGGATAGAATTTTGTAATAAAAGTAGACATAAAATTGGAGTTTATATAAAATGATATTAATTATTTTAATGTGACATAAAAATAAAATTTTTTATTATTTTTATATATTATACATTTTCTAAATGATTCACCTAGAAATTTAATCATAAAAAGGAAAAGTGAATGAACTCTTCGTTCAGGTTATTTGAGGTTTTAAGCTTTTTACAAAATATTTTTAGGGATTTTTAGAACAAGTTAAATCTTATTAATTATATCATTTATAATTAAATTTGTATAAAATTTTATTCAAGATTTAAATAAAATAAAATATTTATTTTTAAAATTTATAAAAAAATAGAAATTTGATATAAAAATTTATATAAAATTAATTAAAATTATCTTAATTAATAAATTTTAACTTATATCTTAAAAATGCAAATTAAACAAATCTTATTTTTATTAGTTGTAACTAGGATTTGAATCGGCGATCCATGCTGTTCACGTGTACTAATCTCTTTGGTAATTATCAAATAGTTTGGGACTAAAAGATGTCATCTTGGATGGATTTAGCGACCACGTTGGCGCTTAGCTGAGAGATTAAAAGAATGTTTAAAATAATTTATGAATTAAAAATATTTAAAAATTAAAGTTTAAAAGTTAAAACTAGAGTTTAATCATTTGAAATTTTAGAGAAATTTTAAAAGATTAATTGATAATTTTGCAAATATTTGTTTAAGATTTATTAAAAATTTTAATTTTTTTATAATAATAAAATATATAATTAGAAGTCGTTTGGTAGAGTTTTTAAGTAAGTTTTTTCCTCACAAATTTAAAAAATTATTCAAGAAAAAACTTTAGTTTGTTTTTTAAGTTGGCCTAAAAGCAAGTTTTGAGCCGTAAAATGCCAAATTAAAATTGTCATCTAATAATTTTTAAAATTTTTTCAATTTATGAGAATGGAATTTCAGATTGGCTTTTAAATTCGGCCGAACAACCCCTTAGCTATTTTGTCCGTACTTTTACTCAACTCAACGATTTCTATTTAAGAACATCAAATGCATCTTAGAATTCATAAACCCTCCCAGCCTTCTGGTGTCAAACTCTTTTCTGTCCTTTTCGCTTTCTACATTCCACTGCCTTTTTACTTTCAGAGTTTGGTCTTGGCCATCCGTTTTAATTCCTTTTCCCTTCCTGTATTTTCCTGCTCTCTACATTCCTTAAAAAAATAAAAATCCAAAAAGGTAACTCTTTTTCCTCTTCTATTATCACAAACTGTGGATCACAGACTGATCTAAGTGCATCATCCCTTCTAAACGAAGGGAAAAAAAGATCAGGAAGATGAGTGATCCTGTAAGTCTTTCTTGCTTGGCGAACAAAGTTTTTGACAAGGTTTTTGACCCAATTTTTACGTACCTTGTCATATATCCAATCACTACTCTGTACTTGTGGAAGCAAAATGTTAAGAAGCTGAAGCTTAAGGTGGATGTGCAGCTGGTCAATAAAAGAACGGACGTGAAGAACAAAGTTGATGAAGCTGAGCAACGGGGGGAGGAGATTTTCAAGGAGGTCAAGCAGTGGATGAATGATGTGGACGAGCACATTAGTGGAAAGAGAAAGGCCGACATAGATGAATTAATAGCAAAATCGGAGAGGAAGTATTGCCTTGGGTGGTGTCCTAATCCCAAGGCTCTCTATGATCTTAGTGAGAAAGCCAAGGAGTATGCTGCGGATGTTGATGCACTCACGCAAAAGGTTTTCGAAAGGGTTTCCTACTTTCAATTTCAGAAACAGGAAAGTATTGTTTCACGGGATGATTTTGTTGACTTTGAATCAAGAAACAAGGTTTTGGACGAGATCATGAAGGCACTACAGAGTCCAACTGTTGACATGATAGGGGTGCGCGGGATGCTTGGTATGGGGAAGACAACGCTGGTGAAAGAAGTTAAAAGAAAGGCTGAGCAAGAGAAATTGTTTGATGTTGTGGTCATGGCTAATGTGACGAGCAATCCTGACTTGACAAAAATTGTAGAGGAAATGGCACGTGGCTTGGGTATGTTTCAGCTTCCTAAAGAACTCTCTGCTCGGCAAGTAGCTGATCGAATAAATGGACGGCTGAGAAAAAAGAATGCGCTTGTTATTTTGGACGATGTTTGGGGGAAAATAGATTTGAAGGATCTTGGAATTCCTTCTGGAAGCAAGCAGAAGCGTCCTGTAGCAGAGCAGCAGAATGAGGAGAGCTCACTGCTAGAGGATGAGGAGAGCTCACTGCTAGAGGATGAGGGGAGCTCATTAAGAGAAGAACAAAAGGAGTGTAAGGTTTTACTTACATCCAGAGAACATAAAGTTCTATCAGAAAAAATGGGTGTTAAAAATGAGAACATCTTCCATGTTAACAAGTTGGAAGATGTTGAGGCTAAGGAGCTGTTTAAGTTGAGAGTTGAAGATGATACTGAAAGCCCTCACAGATCGGAAGCTATTGAGATTGTGAAGAGATGTTGCGGACTGCCGCTTGCCATTGAACGAATAGCAAAGGCTTTGAGAGGAAAGGAAGATCAGCACTGGAATTCTCTACTTCAAGAACTTAAAGCCTCTAGAGATGGAGAATATGCTGTTGTTCGTTTAGCTATTGAGTTCCATTTTAGTCAGTTGGAAAGAGAAGAACTTAAGCAAACTTTCTTGCTTTGCTGTCTAATGGGCCATAACGCATCCATTGAAGACTTAATGGAGTATGGTACTGGCTTAAAACTATTCCCAGAATTCAACAAAATAGAGGAGTTCCGAGATGCAGCACTCGCTTTGGTGAACAATCTCCGAGACTCTTCTTTGTTACTTAATGGTCCTACCAATATGCAGTTCGACATGCAAGATGCTGTCCAAGATACCGCCATGTCAATTGCTTCCAGGGATGGAGAAGTGATATCTTCCAAAGATGAAGATGCAGCAGCGGTGTGGCCAGACGAGGAGGCAATATCCGTAAAACTCAAGTGGATTTATTTGCCAAATGCTGATATTAGTCAACTTCTTCGTGAGTTGGAGTTGCGGAGCAATTCCGAAGGAGGGTATAAACAGGTACAATGTCCTCAGCTTACTTTCTTTCATTTGTCTAACAAGTATCCTTCTTCAGAAACTGCAGTCCCAGCAGACTTTTTTGAGGGAATGAAAAACGTCGAAGTCTTGAGTTTGACTAAGATGCATTTCTTGTCGATGCCTCAATCAATTTCCCTCCTAACAAAGCTTCGAACATTGCGTCTCAATCAAAGTAAGTTAGGAGTACTAGAAGGCTTGGGGGAGATCATAGGAAAGCTGAAGAAGTTACAAGTCCTCAACCTTGCAGGATGTGATATTAGTGAGCTGCCAATGGAAATAGCATGCTTGACGATGTTAAAGTTGCTAGACATGAGTGATTGTACTAACCTCAAAGTAATTCCACGGGATATCTTGTCCAAATTGTATAGACTGGAGGAGCTAAAAATGGCCAACAGCTTTGACCAGTGGCAGTTTATCGAGCAGCATGAAAATCAAAATGGAAATGCTAGCCTTGCTGAGTTGAAGGTTTTGCAGAAATTGACTACTTTAGAAGTTTGTATTAATGATATCACAATGATCCCAGAAGGCTTGTTTAATGCAGAACTGAAAAGATACAAGATTTTTGTAGGAGATTTGTGGAAGTACCGAGACAGTTCTTCTGAAAATACAAAAATATTGAAGTTAGAATTGAAGGCAGACAGTTCTCATACTTCAGCTAGAAAGTTATTAAAAATCTCTGAAGAGCTACATCTAGAGGGATTGCATGGTGTTAAGAATGTGGTTTATCAATTAGACAATGAAGGTTTTCAAAAACTAAGATATCTCTATGTTCGAAATGCTCCAGAGATTCAGTTTATGATTGACTCAGAGAGGTTGGTGTGTAGCAATGCATTTCCAATCTTGGAGGAGTTGGTTCTTCAAAATTTGACAAAAATGGAAAAGATATATCGTGATATGGGAGCAACATCTTTTAACAAATTAAGAATCATAACCATTGAATGTTGTCATCAGCTCAAGAATTTGTTCTCCTTCTATGTAGTGAAACAGCTTCTCCAACTCCAAGAAATCAGTTTGAAAGATTGTGAGAACATTGAAGAGATTGTTGCTGAGGAGCCACAAGTAACCGTTCATGAGATTGACGAAGCAGCTACAACAATTGAGCTTGGCCAACTACGGTCCTTAAGATTTGAAAAACTGCCAAACTTTGTTAGTTTTTGCCAAGAAAAGAATAACCCCATCACAAATCAAGGAGGGAGTCAGTTAACAAGCTCTAGATGCATGTCACTCTTCAATGAGAAGGTATTTAATTAATTAATTTGTTTATTCTTTTTAAATTTTTTCAAGTTATGGCATGTATAAGAGATTAAATGATAAGCTTATTTAGTTAATAGTAGTGGCTATTTTTTGATTAAATTATAAAATAAATTAAATTTGAGAAACTTAATTTAAGAGGAATGGAGGAATAATTAACTTATAATATATATTTTTTTACATTAATAAAAAATATAAAAAATACTTATTTCTTATTCATCTCTTATAATACTGTAGGAAATTATGAAGACTTAACAATTCCTTTCTTTTCTCAAATTTGAAAGTATGACCAAAGAATAGCGGAGACTGCTACAATACTGTCAAAACCGTCTCATACTCTATATAATAGATAAATATAAATAAAATAGCTAGCTATTAATTTTTATAGTTTTAGCTTTTCCAATATCAGAATATTATTTAAGGCAGATTCTTTTAAACTAAGATTTAATGTTGTCGTTAGTGAATATGTTTACGATGTTTTATCTCTTCATTTCTTTTCTGTTTCTTAGGTCAAGCAGAATGTTTCTATTCACTTGTAAAGAAGTCTTAGATTAATTTTACTTTTTTGCAAAAAAAATTAGTTGAATTGCTAAAGAGAGAGACAGAGAGAGAGAGAGAAAAAAGGAAAAGTATGATTATACATTATTGTGTAAAGATGTAAAGTGAGATATTAGTTACCAGGAGGAAGACCATCACGTCTATTGGCCAAATCTCTAAATGTAGGGAATTTTCTTACTCATTGATAATAATTTGAATTTGTGTAACTCCTTTCCTCACCCCTTTCTCCCATAATTGAACCACTTATCATGTTTAATAATAATAAAAAAAATGGGTGTGATTACTCGTTGTACTCCTTGAATTAAATTATAATTTAGTTAAACCCAAATCCACCCCAAAATAGAAGGATAAGAATAAATTTACCCATCAATAAAAAATAAAGATAAATTTTACTTTTAAATTATCAATCAAAACAAATTACTTATTATTTAATTACTTATGATGATGACGGTATTATAAATTAGCTTTCTATTAAAAATAAGGTTAGGTGACAAATGGATTCTCCATGTGTGATGATGTCAACATCAAATAATAAATGATTTATTTTGATTAATGATTTAAAGAGATAACTTATCTTTTTTTTTTAAAAAAAAATGTATGTCTCTACCTTTTTATTTAGGGGTGAATTTGGGAGTTTAATCTTATTATTCAATAAACAAAAATGGAAAAGGGGATAAGAAACAGAAAAGATTATCTTTAATTATTCATTTTAGTTAGAGCTTTCCTAATATCTATTGAATATCGAATATTACAATTTTTCTTCCTTTTTCCTTAATTTATCAACAAAACAATAAGCTTTGCTTTTTTTCTTGATTATTATGTGAAAAAAAGGAGCCTTTTTTAAGAATAAAAAGAATTGTTTGTCCCTGCAGGTTGTGTTTCCAATGCTGGAGGAGTTGGAATTCACTGAGATTAAGATTGACAAGATATGGAACACTTTAGCAACGCCTCATTGTGTTCAGAAGCTTACGAAAATGAGTATTATGTCCTGTAGTGATTTAAAATATCTATTCTCTTCCTCTCTGGCTAAAGGTCTGGAGAAGCTTGTGCACCTTGAAATAAAAGATTGCAAGAGTTTGAGAGAGATCATCACCATGGAGACCAGTCGTGAAATGGGTAATATAATTCTTTCCTTTAGTTGAACTTCATGCAGATAAAACAACTTTTAAACATGGATTTACCCTTGGTGGTTTCTTAAAAACCTAAAATAATAATAGTAATAGATTTTTGTGTTTTATTTATGCTTTACACTTTTTTTTGTTGTCCTTGCACTGATTTAGTCCTTAAATTAATAATGAAAATTTATATTAGTGAACCAAAAACTGCTTAAATTAGTTCAAATAAGCATATTTTTTATGTACATCTAAGAGTTAAAGGACAAAAAAAATGCTTAAATTAGTTTAATTTAAAGACAAAAAAAAAAATGCAAAGTTTAAAATTCAGTGATTAAAATTACCATTTGACCTTTAAAAAAATGTTGCCCTGCTTATATATGCCATTCATAATAGCACTGCTGCTATTTTCAGGCAGTAAAATTTGAGCCAATGAGGCCTCATATTAACTAGTTAAGAATTTAAAGTTTAAGGCCTCATAATCCAAGAGTTGTGGGCTTGAGTTTTTATAAATTTGAGATTTATTTTATTTTATTTTATTTTTGTAATGTGCTTAACTAATTAAGTGTGAATGTATACATATTTATATATTAATTTGTAGTTTGTACTTAAGTGTAGCGTTAGGGAAGTTTTCTTAAATATTTTTTAGTATAAGTTTCTATGTGATTGGTCATATGAATTATATATTTAATATGGTTGATGTTAATAATAAAAAATTAAAGTCAATGTCTTTAAAATTTAAAATTATAATTAATTACATTAAATTTATAGCATATATGTGTAATTAATCACATAAAAAGTACATGAAAGGGAGTGTTACAAAAAAAATGTTCTCAGCATTTCTCTCATTATCAATAAAAAATAATAAAATTTTGAATTTAAGAACTCCTGGCTTAAGGCTAATAAAATAAATAAATAAATAAATAGTTGAAATCTTGACTTGTTGAGGCCCTATTAATTACCCTTAGGTTCTATTGAGTTCTAATGTTCTTAAGCCTAATGTAACTTTATGTTGGTTTTATTTAATTTATAATTTTGTTTATCAAATTAATTGGCATCATGAGTTAATAATGTATTAGTTAATATTTACGTATTATAATATATGAATTGTACATTGTACTCATGAAAAATTTGACTTTAATTTTAATGTCAATAAAATTCACTTTTAATATATATTTGTTCCGATTAAACAAAATCTATAATTCGTTCTTGACTTCAAAACTTTATTTGGATTCTGCTCAGGTAATTGTGAAGTTAAATTCTCATCGTTGAAGCGATTGAGTATAATAAACTGTCCAAAATTAATGGAATTCATGATCATGGTTAAATCTGCAAACACAAATGAAGCAGATAACGCACGGTGCTTCTTCAATGAACAGGTAAAATTCTTTTCATCTCTTGACTTGCATTTTAGCTTTAGCTTTGGGAATTGATTATCCTTATCAATTTCACTCGTTGGCATGAATTGTATATGCAGGTTACATTTCCCAGCTTGGAAAGCTTGATTCTCTCTCATTTGAAAAACTTACAAGTCATATGGCACAGCCAACTCTCTCCAGATTCTTTTTGCAAACTAAAAGAGTTGGTTGTTAGAGGTTGTGAGAATTTAATAACAATTTTTACAAAAGATATGCTGGGAAGCTTCTTTAAATCCATAGAGAAGTTAGCAATTTATTATTGTGCTTCAGTAGAAAAGGTGTTTAACGTGGGAGAGATTACAAACCTCAAAGAATCAGGACAGACCCAGTTGAGAAATTTGCGGATTTATGGTCTACCGAGTTTGAAGCACGTGTGGAATGAGGATCCTGAAGGAATTCTTGATTTTCAAAGTATGGAATCGGTGATTGTTTGGAACTGTCCCAGTATCAAACATGTGTTTCCAATTTCAGTAGCAAAAGGCCTTAAACAACTCCAAAAGCTACAAATAGTGTCGTGCGGGGTGGAGGAAATTGTTGCAATGGAGCGGGGAGGAACAGAAGCGGTGGTTAAGTTTGTGTTCCCTCGACTGTCAAACCTCAAACTAGTGGAACTACGAAGACTCAAATACTTCTATCCAGGAGAACACATAACGCTTTGGCCAGAGTTAACGGAGTTGGATGCTTTTGACTGTGGTCATGCTGATGAAGTGGACATAAGAAAGAGGCATGGTCGACCTGATTTCCCCATTCGACAGCCATTTCTCAACATGGAAGAGGTATGGGCCACGCTATCACTTAATTTTAGTTTTCAGATTAAAAATATACAGGGAAAAGTGCTTTTTTTTTTTAAGTCGTTTTCTTATTGTTTTTTTGAAGTCTTTTTAAGAATTTATTTTTTAATTAATATTTTTAAAAATTAATTGTTTAATTAAAATTTTTTTCATATAAATTATACTTGTTAATTTTTAGATTCATCTACTAAACTTAATCAATTTGTTAATTATATAAAATTTGATACCATTAAATATATATTGATAAATAGAGTTTATTTAATAAAAGAGTTATAAGTATTAAATTAATATATTAAAATTGACGTGTACATAAATAAAAATTTTAATTTAACAATTAGTTTTTTAAAATATTAATTAGAAAGTAAATTTTTAAAAAGGTTTTTTTAAATTTTTTTAAATGATAACCTACACTGCATTAATTTTTAATATTTATTTCAAAACAAAAAAGTGTTACATATTCCAGCGTCAAACTTTATCAACCATACAAGTATGATACTGTGATGCAGCATGAAGTAGAGATAAACTAGTCTAAATCACCTTAGACTCAAGAATGAATCCAAACTGAGCAAACAAAAAAATTTCTTGTGTAATTTGATAGTAAAACGTTCAATAATAATCCTTGTGGTAAGCCTTACAAGTTAAATAGTCACATGACAAAACCCGATGAAAATGAAAATAAGGTAAAGGTTAAAGTCAATTTGGAAACTATAAAACTAGCCAACCTATTTCTTGCTTACGGCTTGTCCCAACAGTTCAAAACATGCCTCTGAATGAAGGTTTACATTATACTGAAATATACAATTTAAATTATTAAATAGGAAACAAGTCTTCTAAAATAAAAATTATTTTTTTACTAGATAATTTCTTTTTTATAATTTAGCACGATGCTGCAAATTAGAAAACTTATTTCTAAATATGTTTAACTAAATGCTGGACAAAAAATACATGGCGGAAGAGGTATATTCGATTACTAAAGGGAAAATGACATATAGGAATGAGGGACGCAATAGTTGGATCAACTACCTACGTGGAAAGTGTTATGGATAAAAAAAACCTATCTGGCAAGCCGAGCAGTTATCCCTTAAAAAAATTAAATATTGAGTAAATATCAAACCTAATCTCAATTTTTAGTGTGAATACTAAATATTATCTCAACCATTTATTTAAATTAAAAATGATTCCAACCTTTCTAACAGGGCCTAATTTTATTGTAACTCACTTACGTAAAGTCCCTTACAGAATTCTTAGAATGTTATGAGACA